AAAAAGGTGATTAACTATTTGAAAACAAACCAAAATTTCCCCTCGTTCTCAACCTAATGTCCCAGAAAAGCACTTGAAGCTCTGCAGCATCACAACTAGCCCAACCACAAGGACAAGGAATTACAGTCCCACATAGATGATAGAACCTTTCACATTCTGGACAAAATTTGGGGGTTTGGTTTCATTGAGCATTTTTTCCACAGAAAGGAGACTACTTGTTAGGAAAAATAAGGAGTTTTCTCTTAGTATGTTAAAGTAGAATTTCTAAGACTTCAGTCTGAAACATGAGAGAGGTAAGGAGAGGGGTGAGGGAACCACAAGAGAAATTTAGTAAGACTGCTATGTCACAGACAAAGTTCCTTTGAGAGAGGGAACTGTACCTTGTATTCTGTTTTAGTTATGGTAGTTGAAGATGACTGAAAGTTGCTGATAAGATAATCATTAGCTAACATATATAACAAGAATAAGGACCAACCTGCTCATAGCAAACATCAATTAAATCTAAGGCTTGTGACATCTCGACCATTCCAAGTTCACCCACTGGAGAAGCTGCATACTTTCCAGCAATAATTTTCAGAGCAACAAAGGCAAAAACCTGCTCAAGAAGATAACAATAAGTGAAAAACAACATATCAACAAAGATGAAAAGAGAACATCATACCATAATCACACATTTCCTAAGCATCACAATTACTAGATTATGTCAGACTTCAAATCACTTATCAGTTATCAATGTGCCAACTAATTGTAAGGGGAGGGGGGAGATCATTTCAGAATATCATATTTGAATGAATCAGAAAACCTGGGACACAGTAGCAAACCACATATTTCAGATTAGTTATCTAATCCAAAGAAAGAGCGTAAAACCTTGAAGTTAGAACAAAAACAATAACCTGAAATACCAATTTGACCATAGGAAAATTGCAGTTAGTGGTGAATCTTTCTAACGGTCAGCAAATACCTGGAAGTTATAAATTAAAAATATAAAAAGCACTAAATAAAAGAGATTGCAATGTGAAGACTGATAGCATGTAAACTATAAG